TCAATCAGGCATATTATTTCTGGTTGTTCTCGTCTTGCTAACGGAGAATATTTGCACAGGCACAACCAAGTAGCCAGGATCGTACACCAACAGCTTGCCCTTAAATACCATCTTGTGAATCTAGAGGTGCCATACTATAGGTATGTGCCCGACCCAGTTCTCGAGAATGGTCGGGCCACGTTGTATTGGGATCGATCTATTATCACAGACAGGACTATTGTTGCCAATAAGCCTGATATTGTGCTGATAGATCGATTAGAGCGCCGCGCAATGATTGTTGATATCGCCGTTCCTCATGACGAGAATCTCGTGAAAGTTGAAAAAGAAAAACAAATTAAATATTTGGATTTATCTCACGAGATTGTCGATATGTGGAATGTTGATTCAGTGATCATTGTTCCGATAGTCGTATCTGCTCACGGATTGATAGCCAAGAGCCTCGACCAACACCTTAAGAGGCTCACGTTGGACGGCTGGATCAAGGGTCTGATGCAGAAGGCAGTCCTCCTTGACACGGCTCGTATAGTGAGGAGGTTCCTATCTTTGGAGTCCTAACCACCGGTGTCTTGGTCCCTGTACCCGATGTCGGTGGTCTACTATTTTTTATATTTTTAAATGTATTTTGTTATAATTTTTTATAAAGTGTATGTTTAAAAATGTAAATAATATGTATATAAAATAAATAAAGAGAATAATAATAATAACCTCACACATCTCACACACGGGCGTCTGATCCCAAACTATGCAGGGCCTGTACTATTGTAATCAGACTGCTGCTAACCATACTTCTATACCTATTTCTAAATACATACCTACACATTATAGATAAATTACACCCAATCACAGAACAAATGATAGTGCTCACCACACAATTACTTGTCCTGGATGGGAATCGAACGCACGACCTCTGGCTTAGCGATTAGGATATCTAACCACTAGACCAACAGGTCCATGAATATACATAGGACTTGAATATTTATGTTTTTTTTTTGCTAATAACATTCACTTGAGGGTGTTTGTGTATTTGCTACGATCATCGTAATCTAGTTGGAATTTTCAAATTACCGGACTTTTTTGGTGGATACTAGAAAAAAAGTAGCAAAACTGCGCTCATACTAAATTATAAACTAATGTTAATTTATATGGTGCAATCTAATGTTTACTGCAGTGATTAACCATAACGGAGTCCCTACAGAGATAATAAGAACAAAATATAATTCCGTGTGGTGACGGATTTAGAATACGAAATGTCACCACCCCTATTTATCCCGTGGGTGTCGTAAGAGCCGACTAAGGGAGCAAACTACGCAGGACAACAGCACTGCAAAGAGAAGGAAAACTTGATACAAATCCTATATCATCCCATCTGGCCAGCGTGGTATAATGGGCCAAAACCTCCTTTCTAAGGAGAGGCTTATGTCCAGCAGTGGACTATTAAAGGCTGTTGATGTGATGATAACATAGGACAATGCAATCTGTTTCCTTAACTTTTTTGAGTCATTGATTTAGAACGATCGCTGTTTCTTGTTATTACTTTGCTTATTTTTTATATCATGCTTACTAAGTGGACAGTAACGTTATTGAGTATTAGTAACTTCTTTAAACCTAAACTGGCACAGGAACCATAAAAACGTACTTACTCATTAAATAGAAAAGATTTTCTGTTTTAAATCATACATTTATTAATTAATTAAGATAGGCATTTTCTGATAGTTAAATTACAGTAGTAAATTATTATAATAAAATTTTCTTATAACTATACTTTACACTATAAACGTCAAAATACAATTGAGTATAAATTATCACAAATTTTGACTACATATTTTAAGCATTTAATAAAATAATTTGAACTGAACATTTAACAATATTATTTTTATCACTATATTTGCAACTAGCTGGACCCGCGCAACTTCGTCTGCGTCTCTCAATAGTAATAAATTTTCTCCGTTTTTGAAACATTCTTCATTGGTGCTCCGCTCCTATTAGTCTTAGCGTGATGATATATAGCCTATAGCCTTCCTCGATATATTCTATACATATATATACGATATATTTATAATCTATACTAATATTATAAAGCTGAAGAGTTTGTTTGTTTGAACGCGCTAATCTCAGGAACTACTGGTCCGATTTGAAAAATTCTTTCAGTGTTAGATAGCCCATTTATCGAGGAAGGCTATAGGCTATATATCATCACGCTAAGACCAATAGGAGCGGAGCACCAATGAAGAATGTTTCAAAAACGGAGAAAATTTATTACTATTGAGAGACGCAGACGAAGTTGCGCGGGTCAGCTGTATTAGTATAGATATAATAAGTTACAAAATTGACTGGCGTATTAGTTATTTCAAAATCCTTAACAACCAGTACTGAAAAATTAAGAACATTGATGGCTCTTACGTGCAGTGAGTCAACTAACATTTTTAGATTATTTATGTTTTTGACGGATTCGATCATTATTAGACCTTATTTATTGATATGAATCATGATACTAAACAAACACAAACAGTTTTAAATAATAATAATATTTTCGGACATCTGACACACGAGGCCTTCTAGTTTCAAACTAAGCTGAGCTTGTACTATGAAAGCTAGATTGACTGATAAAATACTTATATACTTTTTTTTGTAAATACATACATATAATATATAGAAAACATGTTAACTACGAAAACAAATATTTGTAGATCATACAACCAATGGGTCCGACCCGGGAATCGAACCCGAGACCTCAGCATAACAGTCGCATACGCTACCACTGCACCACCGAGGCAGTTAATTTTTTTTTTTTTTTTTTTTTTTAAAAAGACAACTCCCGCATTAGGAATAAATCCTGTGTCGCGGGGGACTTTACAAACATACATGAAACGGACACAAAGAACACCCAGACTCAGAACAACAATTTGTGGATCACACAAAGTGTCGTCCCATGTGGGGTTTGAACCCACAACACTCGGCGTAGTAGGAAGCGGCGTGGCGACCGCTTAAACCACTACGCCATCCGTGCAGTCAAAAATATAGCAGTAAACTTATAAGCAATATATATACCGTGGAAGAGCCCGGCTCTGTATTAATCAACCTTTCTCTCTCTCTCTGTCTCTTGGTTTCCAAGTATCCTTGGGCGGTCCTGTACAAATATATACAGGGTGTAAAGGACGTCGTAACGAATACTGCAATAGTGTATTCAGACCATCATTCTGAGTCGAAAGCGTTAGAATTTTCAGCTGGAAAATTTAACCTTTTATGTAATCAGCTGTGAAGGGCTAAGGTCATTTCCCGTAGGTATCGCACAGAAATTCGAGAAATCGTTACGACGTCCCTAACACCCTTTATATATATGTATATATTAAATATCTTTGACTTAAAACTAGAATTTTGCAGAAGGTAATTCATCTGCGAAATCCTAGTGTCAAGTCTATACGCAGGGTACATCGACATGGTCGATAACTACACTAAACATAAAAGATTAAAATACCCTCACTGTGACTCTATGTGATCTATTGTGACTATTTTAATGAGTTAAAACAATATTACTATGCTAAAAGTTGGTAAAGAATTGATTCTCACCAATTTCTGAGGACAGCAGCATCAGCGCAGCATCAGCCACAAGATACCACATTTAAAATCAGTCAGACGAGTCAAGTACACACCTTCAAGGATTAAAAAAAAACTGATAACCATTCCTTTTAAAATTAAAGCTAAGAACACAATCAAGAAACCTTTAACAAAAATTAGTTCAAAATCGTTTTATCCATTTACGAACTTAAACTTATAACACGCCACTTTTTTTCATAACTCACCCTCAGATGTGGATTTTATTTTTTTAAAGAAGAAGGATTATAGAATGAAAATTTCGCGTAACATAAAAAACAGTCGAATTGTATACCTCCTTCTACTTGAAGTCGGTTAAAAATGAAGGTCGCACAACACAATACTACATTTTCAATCAAACTTCATTGGTACATAAATTATGTACCATAACCATAGACAACTATTGACTCTATTCATTTCTTTGTTTCTAAACCATAGATTATGGACTATGTACCTATGTAGTGAAAGGAATGTGATCATTATTTCTATAATCTTCTAATTTAGGATAACCTTCGTAATAGTACTAATAAAATAAATTATATTAAAGTCCATTCGCGGTAAGAAAATAGTTACGCATCGATCAAGCCCAAGCTTTCGCTTTAAACCTCATTGGGGGCGGGGCTTGATAGGGGCGAGCATAGTGTTGCAAGAAATTATTTTCTTGCACCACTTTTCTTAACGCGAATGAACTATAAATGATTATATTATAGGTGTACAAACCAGTGCTTACATACAAATTTTCTTAACAATTTTATCATATAGTTTTCTTTTAAATGTTCAAATAAAATCAAATTTTAGCCACTTTAAGGCACTTTTTGGTGCAATTTATTCTAAGACTTACATTTAAGATACCTAAATACACTTGATACAAGTGTATTTAGGTAACAGAAGAGATTCAAAATAAATTCATTTCCATATCAATTTGAGTTGAGAATTAAATCATTAATATACCATAAATACACCAGTGCCTCACGATATATTCGTGAGGATTGAGAAGGAAACCTTGACACAAACCATATACCAACCCATCTGCCCAACGTGGTATAGTAGGCCAAAACCTCTTTTCTAAAAAGAGGCCTATGTGCAGCAGTGGACTATGGGGGCTGTTGATTTGATCTTCGAAGTTCATAAATTGGCGAAGGTTTGAAGCATTCGTTTGTGACAGAAATGTGTCATAAGTATGAATGATGCATGAAGTATTTGCCAGAAGTATGCATGATGCATCAGATATTGGTATATTAAAGAGTGTTGCAGTCTTAATAAATATGTAAACTTAGTGAAAAGTTTGGAATGGGATGAGGATATTTTGAGCTGGCAACAATAGAAGCGTTAATTTAAAATTATTTTTAGCTCATTCTAAAAAAAAAGATTGTCTTAAGTATCTTTTGTCGGTATATTGATAGTGATACCATTGACCAAGCCATTTTTATCACAACTATTGATAGTTATGGTGTACCTATTTTTATCTTCAGTTCTAACCTCTGTTCTGGTCCCCAAACCATTATAATTAGGCGAAGACGGCTTCATAGTCAAAATAGGCATGTCTTTTTCAACAGCAGGCTTCAAAAGTAGAGGCATATCTTTATTGGTATTGAAAGATAGTAGCGGCAGTTCAGGCGGTTTCAGGATGAGAAGTGGGGCGAGGTCTTTGGTAGGAGATGATGGTCTTATCGGTGGGATGACATCTTCTTTAGGCTCTGGTGGTTGCATTTTGCCGTCGACGAAGTGGATGGGGTAGTGGCTCTTGAGTTCAGACATGAGTCTGAAACGCATGCCGCATATTGTGCACCTGTTGAAAAGAAGTTTTTTTTATTGATGTTTCTCACACATATTATATACTCTTTTTTTAGAGTCAGCTTTAAGTCTACTATGATACGGTTGAACTTTGATTGGTTAAGTGGAGCGACTGCACTCAGACCTCCACAACACAAGTACCAGGCCATATCGAAGTTCTGTAAAAAGACTGTGGTCGGACTTTTTAGGGGCTCCAACTAATCGCAACGATTGACACAGATTGTATAGAAAGTACATACATTTATTATTTTATTTAAGCGAATTAGTTTAAGTGATTTGCGTTCAAGTGGTTATGGGTTCATTTTTATGATATACGGGAGCCGAGCAGATGGGTCACCTGGGCCCCAATTCTGCTATTTTATGTTTACGCCAAGCCACTGTCATACCACTGACACGCTATTGAGATGCCATCGAGTAGCCATTGGCATCGGTATAAATATCGGTAGTTAAAAATATATTACGTTTTTTGAGGAAATTATTTATTTATATTTATTATAATAAATTATTAAAAAATAAAATATAAAAATGAGAGAAAAAAGAAATAAATAATATAATTAAAATAAAAATAGCGTGTCAGTGGTATGACAGTGGCTTGGCTTAAACATAAAATAGCAGAATTGAGGCCCTGATGGTAAGTAACTAACGCCAAAAATGGATACATTTTTTTCTTAGGCGGCTTTTCGCACCGTTGGGGAAACGGAGGACGCGTGTGGGACTCCCGGAGAACCGGTCTACCTACTAAAACCCCGCGGCGACCTAAACTATTAAACATCCAAAGTTGACTGTAATATGATTGTATTGTAACCGAAAATTGAATCGGTAATCTGCTAGTCTTAGTAATACTTCACTATTTTACTACGAAAATACTTTTTATGACAGTTGCGAGATCGAAAGTTGATTTCTGGTGGAAGTTCTGGTTTTCTGTGAGGTCGTGGTATCACGTTGGTAGAGCCTGGCCATTTTTTTTTAAATCCGGTCATTTTTTCAATCGTATTCGACAATAACAATCCATATTTCATATTCATAAGCGGCGGTAGACTAGTGGTTCAGGGCATTGGACTTGCGATCAAGAGGTCGTGGATTCGAATCCTGACGAGTACACTACCGACGTAAACCCACTCCTTACACAAGGAATTTAGCTTAGCTGGAGGGGGGCTAATACGAGTAATTTCGGTTGCTAGTAAGCATTTTTAAAAAAGTACTACTCTCAGTAATCATGTTTATCTTCTGGCTAATATTATAACTCACTGATATATATTCTGTCCAATGTGAGCGCGCGTGTGCTTGACGAGGTCGTTGCTCTGGGAAAAGGCGCGCTCGCAGTAGTTGCAGCGGTACGGCTTCTCGCCCGTGTGGATCCGGTAGTGACGTTTCAAATGGTCTTTACATGTAAACCTGGTCGCAAACAAAATCATGGCAAATACAACAAATTTAACAGATTGTCTATGTCAATTATTCGTTATTTTTTTCAGAAACTATAGCGTTAAGAACACGATCTTAAATAAACGGAAATTAATTCGAAAAATACGAATAATCATTTACGTTACAAAGTAACACATGTGAGAACCAGAAACCAAAATTAGTTTCCGGTTATTTCTTGGAATATTAGATAACTGTTTTACGACAACGACGACGAGTCCAAGTAATGTTTATGTTTATTGTTTTAGTATAACAAGAGTGTAACAAAATCAAAACAGTAATTGATTTTTGAATGAACAACCTGCAATATACTTGGACACTTATACAAATACTTTAATTACCATTAATCTTAGCTGTTTTGCGCTTAACAGTGGTACCGTAATGTTACTTGGTCTATAATTCTCTCTATCCAATTCAATTTAATTAACTTTCAAAGAAGCATCACCAACTTCAATGTGCCTATATTATGACGAATAAATAAATAAATAAATAAATAATATTCTACCACATTCACACAACGCCATCTAGTCCCAAATTAAGCAGAGCTTGTACTATGGGTACTAGACAAGTGATATAAATACATATATACTTTTTTTTTGTAAATACATACATATTATACATAGAAACACCCAGACCAAATCAAACGTTAAATGTTCATGCACACAAATATTTGACTTGAGCGGGAATCGAACCCGCGACCTTTGGAATAGCAGTCCGTTACACAAACCGCTACGCCATCCGGTCGTCAAAAATGAATATTCTTAATGAATATTCTTCATTCCTTAATTTGCCACCCTTAGGGGTGAAATTCACAGATCATATCAGATCAACAGCCTTTAATAGGCCACTGCTGGACATAGGCCGCTCCTTAGAAAGGAGGTTTTGGCCTACTATACCACGCTGGCCAGATGGGTTGGTATAGGGCTTGTTTTCCAACTATTTTCGGTGTTGTTGTCCTGTGTAGTTTGCTCCCTTAGTCGGCTCTTACGATACCCACGGGATGAATAGGGGTGGTGAGATTCCGAATTCTTAATCCATCACCACACTACACTACACGGATGGGAAATTAAATTTTTTCTGCAAAATTTTGATAGGATCATGCGAGAAAATCGAAATTGAATTGGATAATTCTCTTTAATCTGGCAACGAATACTCCCTAATAAAAAAGAATTATATAATTCAATTTATAAATGACCGAGTTATAAGGTAACAAACAAAAAAAAAAACATCGAGAACCTGCTTTCTATTTTTAAGTAGGTTAAAAATGTGTTAAGTATTGCAATTTTGTCAAAACATGTCTTATTCAATAATGATACTAACCTCATGTTACAAGTATCGCAAGCAAACGGCCGTATCCCTGAGTGTATCAGCGAGTGTTTCTTCAAAGAATTCTGTTTAGTGAATGCAGCGCCACACTCCTCACATTTGTAGGGATGTTCACCAGTGTGGGTTGACATGTGGGATGTCATTTGGCCTGTAAAAAGAAATGCTTAATTTTAATAAAACAAGTTGTTTGTGAGAAACTTCTAGCTGAGGTAGACATTGTTCCTGACTGCTAAGCCAAAAGTTGTGGGTTTGATACCCACCCAGGTCTAACAATTGTGTAATGAGCATGATTATTTGCTCTGTTTCTGGGTGCAATTGATCTATGATATGTATGTATTTAGAAATATGTTTATCGGTAGTCTGGTTACCATAGTACAGACTCTGCCTAGTTTGGGCTCAGACGGCCGTGTGTGTGTGTTTGTTGAGGCTATTAATATTATAGTAGATTATCCCAATGATGTTTTAAGTTTTTTAAATATGCATAAAATCCTTGGAATTTATTCACTAAGTACAGACAGATCAAAAAGTCATCTATAAATAAATCTGATATTGTGTAGAGCTAATAAAAACGAAACAATGAGTGTGTTTAAACTTCACTTCTAATTGTTATAAAACATCTGAAATGTTATGAGAGAAATAATCAAAAACAAACGTCTATTATAAGCAAATCAACTTAAAACTAAATTTACAAGTGTATTGTTTTGTTGTATTATTCTACTAAATTCTAATTCAGTAGAATAATATAACTTTCCAGGCCCTCTGACTGATTTTACTAGGGAGCAAATCCCTCAACCATCTCAAGAAGATTAATCAATTCTGACAGAATATAAAGGCACCCCTTCGCCTTTTCTTCACTCCACTCTCATGACAAGTAATAAAAAGATGGATAAATTAGAGAATGAAAATGTGACCATTTCCAACAGAATAAACCATAGCTTCTAGATAAAAAGGTGCAGAGGGTTTCTTTTGTCTATTCATTTCAAGTTAGCTATACTATTTTTTTTTTTTATACATTCTCTCATCTTCTTCTATTATTTCTGAATATTTAGATCAAAGTATGTTTCAGATCTTAAGAAATTTTTGAAGAAATTCTAAGCTTACCTTTGGTACAAAAAGTCTTGGGACACATATTACAGGCATAAGGCTTTAGCCCTGTATGCCTCATCATATGTTGTCTCAAGTTAGAACTGTTGGTGAAGCCCTTCCCACACTCAGAACATAAGTATGGAGTTTCTCCAGTGTGACTACGAATATGGTCCTTTAAACTGCACAGCTGGGTGAAACCTGGAAATCCCAACTAATTTTTTCAGCTTTTTGAACCAAAAATTCAATCTTTATCTATTATAAAATATCCTCTTACATTTTTTACAGGAAAATAGAAAAGTACCATTACTTTTTGTGTCTGAGTTGATTACCAAAACCAAAGACAAAATCTAGTGTAAAGATACCTCTTTTTAAAAACAAAAAATTAACTTTTTTTTATGTAAATACATTACATATATATTTCACAGTATTTATTAATCTTAATGTGTGGTGACGGATTAAGAATATAGAGTGTCACCACCCCTATTCATCATGTGAGTGTCGTAAGAGCCTACTAACGGAGTAAACTATGCAGGACAAATTTCTTAAAAAAACTAATTACCTTTCTTGCAATATGAACATTCATAGGGTTTACTATCTTTATGTGTATGCATGTGATGCACCAATTGGTCCTTCCTTGCATAACTCTTTGAACATTTTGTACACATATGTGGTTTGACATCACTGTGCAAAACCACATGTCTTTTCAACTGATGTTTCATACTAAAAGCTTTTCCACAAGTGTCACAGATAAACTCATTCTTCTGATTTTTGTGTCTCCTCTTGTGCATAGACAAAGATCTCTGTTTTGTGAAAGTAAGGTCACAATCTGGGCATTGTAGTAGTGTTACCTGTGCCTCATTTTCAACTTCTATTTTTATTTTATTGTTAGTGTGTTCTGTCATATTATGTTGAAGTAATTTTGATTCAGTTTGGAAGTTTAAATTACAAACCGAACATGAATACTCTTTGTTATGCTTTGCTAAATGCTTGTCTAAAGACACCTGATTTTGATATGATTTATTACAAACAGTACATAGCAATGGTGATTCATGCATTTGTAAATGTTTTATGAATTTCTTCTCTTTTAAAAAAGTTTTACTGCATTTGTTACATGTAAATTTATTTTCTTCAATGCCTTCAGATTTTTGGAAATCATGATTGATATCAGTGTCATCAAAGGCATTCAAATAATCATCTTCATTTTCTGTTTTCGGCATAACTTCAGGTGGTTCAGTCTTTATTTCATTTTGTAAGAGTTTTTGGAACTCCTCTTGCGCTTTCTCAGCCTGAACACGGAATGTATATATAAGTTGCAGAACTCTTGCACACTCATCACATAGTTTTTGTGGTAAACCATCTTCTTTGGAGACCTGGAAAGAAAATAAGAGTTTAAAAAGACTAAAACGACAACCAATTAGTTTACGATGTTATGATTAATTGGCTAAATACCTGTGTTGGAGTACAAATTACCAATATATCTGCCAATTGATGGCAATTTTCTTCAATTTTCACCGTTTCATATAAGTCAACCAAATTCACATTTTCCTTCATACAGGTTCTACACGAGGAAGATATATCTAACATTTTTAAGTATTTTTGATTTTGTTTTTTTTTTACTGTAATTACTTCTCTGTTTTTATTAAATTAAATAAATATCAACACGCATCACGACACTTCATCGTAATTATTGACAATTCACTTTGACATTTGAGGAGTGTAACCTTATTCTTGAGCTAGTTTCCCTTAGAAATCGTTTAAAATATATATTATTTTTGCTTGACAACGACAATAATTTGTATCATGATGTAAAACACACACTGATAGGACTTTTATATAATTGTTTAAAGTCATTTATATTGATAACCGAAAGTAGTAAACTTTACCACAAGCCTTTTTACTAAAGTGAGAAGAATTCTCAGGCTATCGTTGCATCGTGTGTACATAGTGACATCGAAAAGACTGTATTTAAAAAAAAAAGACAACTGCCGCTCTTGGTATTCCTACAAATATTGTATTATATATCCTGTGTCGCTGAGGACTTTACAAACATACATTAAATGGACACAAAAAACACCCAGACTCATTCTCAGAACAACATTTTGTAAATCACACAAAGAATTGTCCCATGTGGGGATCGGATCCATAACACTCATCGCAGTAGGAAGCGGTTAGGTGACCGCTTAAACCACTACGCCATCCGTGCAAACAATTCATACGTGGTGTCATTGTCACATATTATCAAATATATGCCAATGACTCCATAATTTTTGATGGATTCCACCATTTACAGACCTTATTTATCGATATAGATCATAAACCTCAAAAAACCTTAAGAATTTCAAATAAAACAGTAGTTTAAAACAAACATGTGAGAGAGCATGAGAAACATGGGATCCATCGATTTTCTCAAATTATAAGGAAAAGCCTTAACCTGGCAGCACTGAACGTTGAATTTTGACACCAATGGGTAACGCGTTTCGTTCTTTCATTTATATAAATTAACATGATTTCTTTAAAAAACAAAAAGTAAATATTTTCGATTAAATTTTCTATTGTTCTCTATATATATTAGATATAGGTCTAGTAAGGCTACAAATGTTTAAATAGTAGATTTGTAGGTTTCTAGTAGTAACTAGTAAAAATCTGTTATGAATTGGATTCACATTTTTTTAGTGATTTGATTTGACCGCCGGATTGAAACTTAATGCGTGTAATGAATAGAAATAGGTTTTTCATGAAGTCAATGTTCATTACCAGCCATTACCAAGTTTATTATGAAAGAAAATATTTTTTATTCAATAATTTTGTGATTATTACCTGTTTATTAGGTTTGAAAGTATTCTGTGACATTGTTTTCGTACTTTGAAAATGAATATTTGGGAACATAAGTTTTGTTACGTTACGGTAATTCTTGTGTTATTGTAATTTAAAAAAGTACATGATAAGCGATACTATAAAGAACCTAGTCATTACTTATTAACAAAGTTTTGATAGTTTGCGCCATAAAGTGGACACAGAAAAGTTATTTTTATATGTAGCCTAATTAAAGTTTCAGTTGATTTACCTTCTATAAACATAACAATTACTGCGAAATGGATGACATTGTTTTCGTTGGTGATTGGATAAAGGAAAGAGAACTTGGAAAAGGAAGTTTTGGTACAGTCGTATTATGGAAACACAAAAGAACAGACGAAAAACTAGCAATTAAAACGTGTCAATGGGGAGATGAAATGACCGCTAAGCATAGGGAGCGATGGACAAAAGAAGTGGAAATGTTACAGGATTGTAAAAACGCAAATATTGTAGCCACCAAAGAACTGCCTCCAGAATTTGTTACAGGGTTAGAACGAGCTAACCCTTCCGGCCTACCCATCCTTTGTATGGAATATTGTAGCGGTGGTGATCTCCGTCAAGTTCTTAACAAGCCTGAATCATGTGCAGGCCTCAAGGAACAACAAATCAGACAAATTCTCAGTGACATAAGAAATGCAATGGAATTTCTTCATCTGAGTAAAATTACACATAGAGATCTCAAACCTGAAAATATAGTTATGCATGTACTAGACTCAGTTCAACCAGCTAATGTGGGTGTTCAAGGCCAAAGAAAAGTTATATACAAGCTCATAGACCTCGGATATGCCAAAGAAATTGACTCCAATTCTGTGTGTGCCAGTCTTGTAGGAACTTTGCAGTATTTAGCACCTGAAATTATTTACAGTAAGAGTTATAGTAATTCTGTAGACTTCTGGTCATTTGGCCTGGTTGCATTTGAGCTTATTTGTGGCACCAGGCCGTTTCTACCATTCATGGCTCCTGTACAATGGATGCCTTATGTGAAAAAGAAAGCACATGAAGATATTTGTATATATGAAACTTTTCATGGTGATATTCAAAATTCAACTGAAATATTTCCTGAGAACTATATTTCTAAACCATTTAAAACATTATTAGAGCAATGGTTAAGAATTGCACTAGAATGGGACCCAAAATTGAGAGGTAGAGATACCCCATCCAGAGTCACTTTTAACATACCTTCAGAACAGAAAGTAGCTACCAGCAAAATTGTAGTATTTGATGTACTTAAAAAAGTTCTAACACAAAGAATAATAAAGATATTCTCTATGGCAACCTTGTCACACATAGCATATGAAATTGATGAATCAACTACAATTGCAATATTAAAATCTCAGATATACAATGACACTAAAATCCCAACATCAGAACAGATCCTTGTAACTCAGATGAACTTCATGGAGCTGCGAGATGATGATTGTGCCGTTAAATATTGGAATGAAGATACCATGTTGTACCTGTACAACAAGACGAACTTAATAAAAGATTATGTTGAACCTACTGTACCAATCGCTGTACAAAGATGTTTAGAACATCCAAAAGCTCTATACAACTTCAAAAACAGCTATGATTTATACAAAAGCGGCTTGTACTTTGTCATGTCTCAAATGGAATTGTATGATTCGTTAATCAATGGCTTCTTTGTCAGAGCAGAATCCCTAAAATATGAAGGAAAACAATTATTACTTAAGCACAATTCTGTTGATAAGGATATTGCCAGTCTGCTTGCAAAACAAGAAATCCTAAAACAATTAGTTGACACTGGCAAAGAACATATAAAGCATCTAAGAGAAACCTCTACTGGAACAAATTTACTTGGCGGCTTTGATAAGACCTTCAAAGACTCTGACGATATAACTGAAAGAATAAATAAGCTGCAAACTGCTTGGTCCCAACTTACTGTGAGACTTCAATCAGCCACGAGACGAAGCAATGAAGTTATAACAATAGAACTCAGTAACTTTGTCACAAAATTTAACTATCAAGTAGTATATTCAAATGCTTATAAAGCATACCTGTCTTATAAGAAAGCTGAATCCATGAACAGAGGCAGAGAGAAACAGTGCCAAGATATAGTTAAGGTTTGCTACGACTGTCTCAAACTTAGGAGTAAGATTTTGCAAGAAATTCGATCACAAGCATTTGTAATGAAGCTAATGGATTTGAGTACTGAATTTGCAAAGATTGGGGATATTGTATCCCATGCATCTGATAACACCAACAAACTGGTTAACGATCTCAATTTGGTACTAAAGGAATTAACCGATTGTACTTGGTCAACTATAAGTCTTGTGGTTAAGGATGCTGCAGGATTGTCAGAAGTTCCCTACAGTGTGGTCTCATTTGAGAAGAAAGACTTTAAAATTGGTGAACCGGTATCCAATCACTGCATCAAGATGACTAACCAAGTTAAAGAAGAAGATGAAGCGTTTAAATCTCTCATTGAAGAGAGTATGAAATTGAGAAAGAGTCAAATTAATTTGTCTTTGAAATTAAACTCTCAGAAAGAGCTTTTACATAAATCATTTTATGATTTCAGTTTCTTGGATGAGGCTTAGAGTTTATCTACTACCAAATTGTTGAACTAACAAAGTGCCTTGTTTTTCAGTGATAAAACTTATCGTAAATATTAAGACGGTACACGGTGCTAAATTTTATATTGTTGTTCTATTGTCAATTTATAATCATATCTATTATGTTTATAAACTATCACATCAACAGCCTATAATAGGCCAGTGCTGGACATAGGCCTCTTCTTACTTCGAAAGGAGGTTTTGCCCTACTATAGTATGCTGGCCAGACGGGTTGGTTTAGGGTTTGTGTCAAGTTTTCCTTCTCTTTGCAGTGCTGTTGCCCTGTGAAGTTTGTACCCTTAGTCGGCTCCTACGACACCCACGGGATGAATAGGGGTGGCGACATTCCGTATTCTTAATCCGTCACCACAAGGATATAAACTATATTATTATTTATTTTTACAAGTTCTATGAGTATATTTACCTAACTATTTTCCTGTTGATGTTTTGTGTTTGTGTTCTAGTCAAAATGCATAATATTTTAAATTTACCTACTTATACAAATTATATAAATGCTATTTGTTGTAATGATTTGTTTTACTTATGATACCTTATGTCTTATACCTACAATGATATGGGTAATGAAAACGCGGCGGACCGCGTTTGTATTACAGGCGGACCTGAAGAAAAGTTATATGTTTAAGGTTGTTCGACAGGTGGCGCCGGCAAGTTTAAAAAAAAATATTTTCCGGACTTTATAGTAAATAAAACTATAAATCAAGTGTATCATCATTTAATGTATGAAGGTATCAACTTCAATACTGCCCAAGTATCTAACAATAAAATAAATCGGAACAGGAAAATCTTACAAAAAATCGCCAATAAATTGTTCTAGCCAGTCCTTGAATTTGTTCATAACTTTTTGTAATTTTCTGACGTCAGCCGGCGTCTGTAAGTACTCTTCGGGGGCGAACCGTGGCTCAGGGCTGCCACTGACGTGTAACCAAATAGCAAATACTGCATCATCGATATTCGTTACCCTTCTACGACAAAGCCTTGCAGAATTCATGCAAGTAGAAATTAACGATACCATGCTCCCTATACATGCACTTCTAGAATTTTCCTTTCGCGCTGCTAAGAAATAGCTGCGCAACAAATTTTCGGTTTTATCATCTAAAATGACTACTATTCCTGAAATTAAATCGATATAATCAGTCACATCTTTCAACGCTTTTTTTTCTTCTTTGCCAATTTTAACTGGGTCCATGGCTTGCTGCAGTACAAAATCTGCTATTTCATCGTTGTATTCCCCAAAATCACCTCGGCATACATAAGAAAATATACTTGCTACGTTGAATAGAATCATTTTCTTGAAATCCATTCCTTGTGCCCAAACTGCTGATTTCAACTTTGTTACACCGGTACCAATATTTATTTCACCAGTTTCTATCGCTGACAGAACTCCGGATACTTGCTTGTGACTGTAAATATGAAGAGGTAACGGTAGAAAACATACCCCTCCAGAACTACCGATTAGGGCAGTCGATGGAACTGTATTAGTCATCCCAAGTAAAACATGCCTATCAGCCAGTTTCGAAGCTTCAGTCATAAGTGCCGGGGTATACCTAGAATCGAATCCAGCTACTAGTATATGGATAATACTCGTACCTATTACGGCATGGGCCTTTACACTCGTTAAACTCAATAACAGGCTTATTTTCAGGTGCATAAAGCAATTCAAAGGACAAACGTTGACACCAATACTGGAAGCCAGACAGTATATAAACTTCCAAGGTATTCCATGGCATGCATCGTATAACTCCTCAACATCTTTCGGCATACGATTTGTTATTGGTGCCGGTAAGGGAATGATCTTTTCAACAGACCATACAATAGTGATTTTCTTTGTTATAACAGCATGCAAAATATATCTCGAACCTAAATTTAATGGCGTTATTAAATCATCGACGATATTAAACTTTTTTGGCAATAATTTGTTCTTCAATTTGAATGATGCAATCACCTTCTCTCCACATCGCCTCCAGCCGCTATTTTCGAACAGAATACTTTTGCATAAATAGCATTTTGGCGGGTGCTTTGGAATGTAGTGTAGAACTACCTCATTCCCTTCACATTCTTCAGGACAGGACCAAACTGAATGGTATACATAACTCTCAGGCTTCGAGAAGGATATTAACAGACCATCAAAATTAACTAAACCTACGTAATTATGAGGGTTTGGTGGGGCAAGTATAGGCATACTTCTAAACCTCAACACAACACTGACTTGAGCATATCCTATACTATTCCTCTTTTCGTTGTCGGTAGACAAAAGCACAGCAAATAAAATGTCGTTTAACATTTTTTGAAATTTCATTGGTTCTTTAATTAATATATTAAAAATATCAGAGAATACATTTATCATATCCATGACATCAATCTCTGTTACACATCTCAAAGGTGGGAACTTACACAATTCTTTTTCAGTCATTTGATTTAAGAAATTTTCACATTCAGTCTTCATGTTATGTAGGTAACGCCTGTCGTCTAAATATAGCAATAACGCACATTTTGGTTCCATGTTGCTGCAATTGATTTTATTTAAGGTACATGTTATTTATAAAGTCATAATATTTATTACTTATAAGTACGGTGCGTCTATATAAAAAAAACTATAAGTTGGCCAATTAAACCAAGGTAAGTACTGTTTAGTACATTGTGATCGTTCCCGCCAGTTTTCTCCTGTCTTTCCATAATTCTTTTTTCAAATATGAAAATATTATTTTTCAAAGTGAAACAGACTAAAGTTCTTTTTTTTGTTTGTTTGACTTCTTTACATATAATTAAAAAAAAGTACCGGTCTATTAAAAATTATAAAACTTACTAAATTAATTTTGTGGCAGGTACATAGAACAAAGATTTTTTATGATCAAATCTACAGAACACAAAATATCTCAAGAAATTGGTGTGAATGATCTTGACACTGATTCTTAGCTTGTATGTGAATATTTAATTTATCATTTAATGTAGTATATTTTAGCAGGTGTCTAACCATTATATAGGTACTTCTTTACTTTTACTAGCTGTACCAGCGCAATAAAACTAGTTTTAATTATACTATAGATACTTATAAATTCAATCACGATACGGTTTTAAGAAGGTAAAACGATCTTATTGGATGATTTAGGCAGATAACTCGGAGTCACCTGGTGATAAGTAACTACCGCCGCCCATAGACACCTACAACTCAAAGACAAGTGCGTTTGCGTCTTTCAAGATTGAGGAGCGACCTCCTGTAAAAAACAACGAAATAATTGCTAAACACCGGTTTTCTGTAAGGCCCTGGTATCACTCCAATCGAGCCCTATATGTGGCGAAGCATGCTCTGCCACAACCTATAATACTATAAATAATTTCACTAGTTATATCTAACGGCCATTAGATGGATAAAAAAAGACACACTAACTCCATCTACCCACATCATTTACTCATCCCTAATTTTTATAAATGCATTTACAACTACAAACTTCAATTATTATATCATTTCATTCATTATACTCCCACGCAAAAACGTGTCGAGCTTATATACACGCATTTAAATTACCTATCAAATGCTATTATGGTAACGCACAATCAAAACTTGACAAATGAGCTTTATGCCAGCTTCGTAATGCAGTTAGAGATTAATACTCGTATGCTACAATGATTTAAAAACTCTTAACGATAGAAATAGTCAAAATCTACTCAACTGTTTACTATGCTTGATACTTAGACGGATTCTTTCCAAGTACTTACCCCAAAACATAAATATTTAAATTAAGTTCATACTTTTCGGCCAGAGCCAATTTGAGTTACATAATATATAGGTAATTTGTTTTCAATTCACTATTAATTTCTTCATCTGTGATTCCCGTGCCGTCAATGCCCTTGCCCATTTTACTTAAGTGTACGTAAGTGAAATAACGTTATATCAAAATTATTTCATTTAATAGGCCTTTGTCTATGCCTTCCAGGATGAAGAAGTAAGAGTATTTATGTGTGTATCCGTACTAATAACAACGGTGAAATTTTGATGTAATTCTAAACTGCACTTAATAGTCGGGGAGCCCTAGAAGAGATTTCGGGATTTACTCGAGCGTATCAGATTAATATAGGAGGAATACCGTACACCCAGATGAATGCCTCCACCATACCTGAGCCCTACATATAGTTTCGAGCGTCTAGGGCAGCCCATCAGATTAGTTAAAAAGAAATCGATGGACAGAAATACTCGAGAAAGAAATACTTACCTTAATCTTTAAGGTAACTTGGGTTAATTACATACACATTAGGGTGTATTTTAAAAAAAACTGACCATTTGAGCGTGACATAAGACAGTACGAGGGTCACAAGTTCCTAAAAAAAAAACACATGCCCTTGTTTTTTCATGTCTTTATTTGTCACATTTATTAAAAAATAAAAATATTTCCAACCCGCAGATTTTAAATACCCTGCAAAATTATCGTCAGATTTTTGTTTAGGATGGAAGGAACATTAAGCTGAACCGTCTGTATAAACTCTAACACGCTGGGGTATTTCGAAATGGCGATTTTTCGAATTTACAGCTTGTGACACTTTTGAATCGTCGGACCTTTCAATGAGAGCTTTTTTGGGATCCAAATAATATATCCCCATATATGATGAAGCGCTCGAATTTTTTTTTTCGATTGCTTTCCTTTACAATATTAAAAACCTGTAGAAGCTTTTTACACCGCTGAAAGTGGAAACATTATTTAACTTTTATTCATTCTATTATCTAATCTTTCAAATGCAATAGGTCACCCATGACGATCGAGTAAATCCTCATTTAGCATCACATTACTATAAGAAGAACGAGTGAAAAAAGAATAACACAATCAGAAGATTATCTCAATCATCAAATGAAACTGGTTGCAACTAAACCCACACCTCTTTACGATACGTGATGCAATGATTTCACGTAAGTATTACAATTTTAATTCACACTTTATAGATCGACATTCAAGAATTTTGATCACTCATCGTAGGCGTAGCTAGTTACTCGAATGTAGGCCGAAGGGACCTTCCCATTCCCACTAAACTACATAATTGTTGGCTAAATATTTCGCTTTGTACTTAGAATTAATAATGATATCATACTAGCTTCGTAAACATTAACTGCCATTCTACAGGACTTATCACGGTAAAATTTAGAAAGTATGATTCGTTTTTCTATTCAAAACCTTTTAATCGAATTGCACTGATGGTCACTTAGACTTGTGGAGGAATGGGCGTTATGTCCTTCTAAACAGGGTATAGCGTTCGACCAGGCGAGATGATCATGCTTGGCGGGTCGCAGCACAGAGTTGATGTTAGGAAGTTGAATAAATTCTACTCGGTGTGAAAATGTATTTTATGATACTGGAATAAGTAGTTACTCCGTTCTTCTCTTAGTCTTCATTAGATGCTTTTGAAGTATATTTCTCGTATGTAGTTGTATGTGGAACTAGCCACAGATCGATCGTGTACAAATTAGTATGGGAAAAGTGTTAATAAGAAGTTAAATTATAGAGTAGGTATAGGTAATTTAAGACTACAATTAATTTTGCTAACTGCTAATTAAGAATTCACAATTAAAATATGAGTGTGAAGACTAATTGTTCCATCACTAGTACAAGGTAGGTCTTAACTGATAAATGTGACCACAATTACGAGTATGTCACACATTATCACAGAACTTGATCTAAGTACCAAAACTATCCATCCTCAAAAGGAAATAAATAAGTATAATAAATAAAATGTCAAAATACATAATTCGAAAAGGGCCAACGAGTTTAAGGTGGGTAGTGCATTACATAATGTGATTTTGCGTCATCAATGATCGCCTACTCGCAACTTTAGCGGAGCCCACGCTAGAAGAACACCAAGAACAGTCGGGTACTCCACCCGCAAGGTCGGTAAACAATTAGCCCAAGCAAAAGCCTCCACAACGGAAATGCCGAATCGAATATGCAAATGATATCAATCTGTTTACTATCCATTTCCCAATAAGTTATGTAGTTGCTGGATGTTGTTCATTCATTGTGACCGAGTACAGAGAGGTTGTCAAGTTTTTTTTTAATTACTCTTTTAATGACTATTTGTATTCTTAGGATTTTTAATAGGAATACATTAGATACATACAAGGAATCGATTCGAAATTCGATTTTTCTTATTGCGATCATCTTTATTGTATAAAATTAATGCTTCTGGATGTGTCACTGAACTCCTCGTGAACCGCGAAATCAATTTTGATAAAGGTTTTATGTGTGATTGAGACCCTGGATGGTTAAGGTTCACAAGTGGACTCAGTAGCTAGACCTGTTATAAGGTTTCAGGAATATTTTTTTTACATCCAGGCAGGACAAGCTCTGCCGCTAGTTTCGTATGAAATATCGATGTCTTCAACAAACTAAATCTTTGAATAAAAACTTTCGTGAATAAAAAGTGTCGTCCTAGGTTTTAGAAGTAGATCTTGAAAGTTACAAAATATATTTAAAACAAATTAGTAATAAACACAAGTATTTTACACTATTAACTTAGTTAAAATACACAAGTAAAAAATTCTCTGACACAATAAAATAAAACAAATTATATCAAGAGTTTTACATAATGTAGCGCGTTTATTGTTATCGATTAAGTGGTACTTTGACTAAAGAAAATATCGATTTTATTCCATATATGTATTTATTACACAAAGTAAGTCACATAAAACAAGTAGCTCCAAATTTACGATCATCGTTTGTGTAGGTTTCACTTCAACGTGACAAGCAACGATTGAGCGCGAGTGTACATGAACGGAGCGGGGCAAGTGGGCGGAGTGATCGTATTTTTCAAGCGGAGTCGTTGTGCGGGCGGCATGATCGCGTGGGGCGGCCGCCGGGCTCACTCCATGCCCGAGCACGACAAGTACCAGCTGCGACCGCGTGCTGCGCGCAGCCGCGAGCCGCGCGCGCGCCGAACGCCTCAACCCCTCAGCAAGTACAGAAGAAAAACTGCAAACGCGCGTGAAAGAAGTCGCATGAGGGAGATCAACCGTGCCTTCGAAACCCTGAGACGAGCTGTTCCTGCTTCAGCCATCACCGGCACACCAATACCGTGTGAGAAACTCACCAAAATCACCACTCTGAGACTTGCTATGCGTTACATATCGGCGTTGTCGGCGGCTTTGCGGGAACCCAGCTCTGAGGACGACGGCAGCTCCCGTCCCGACCGCTGGCCGTCACCACTTTGCTCGGATCTGTCAGAGTTCTCCACGGAGTTAGAGCAAGAGACTCCTTCGGAGTTCGCAGAGGACTCTTTGTCGCCGTTCGATTCGTTCTTTGCGGAATTCGACTGCGACTATATTGACAGAACATTCGCGTGACAGTGTTGTGAGTGACGTTACTTCAGGACTATTTCGAATTAGGTACTATTTAATTCTCCTTTGCCATACTATTAATTATTAACTATATTTTATATTGTATGAGATATTTTTTGAGATTTATTTATTATTAATAAATAATTGTTATCGTTATTTCCTTGTTGTGTTTATATTGAAGTCCAATGCGTATACGGTACCGCAAACCTGCTGATAAAACTAAAGAATGGCTTGTTAGCGAGATTATATGTAATATACCTAAATAAACTAGTAGCCAACAAATAATCTGGAATCGCGGGACAGTTTTATAGCCTAAGAAACCTAGTCATTCTATTAAATACCTACTAATATAGACCAAAAAACCTTAATAGATTTTTAAAATTGTAACAGTATATGTGGGTGTATAACTCTTACATTTATTATGGTAAACTAGGTTCTATGTTAATGTTGTAATCAAACTAATCAGTTCAATCACATACAAAAACACCAAATAACAATTTTGAGAATACACATACGAAACTACACCTACCTACAATAATAGGCCAAATATCATCTGTGTTTAACTAAGAATACATAAAGATGATCGTTTCTGTACAATATTCACCATAACCATAAAATATATTTAAATCATATTCCAATAATATGATCGTGACGAGACGGTATACTGACCTCTGTGTTGTTTATTTTGGGCTAAAGTAAGTGCGCCTTTTTAAAAGTACTTAAATAAAAAATAAAAAACAAAATGTGTCCGACTATCCCGTGTCCAACATGTCCGAATATCAGTTTTAGTTTTATAAACTTATAACTTAACTTTATTTTCCTCATTTGTTCCCGAGTCCAAATTGCCAAGTGATGCGGAATGATCGTTTGATTATGTAAATAATAGCTTGCGGAAGCGTAGGCTTGGCCGATTTATTGTTGTCAAACGACTAAAAGAAACATCTTACAGTCTGCCTTGTGATTGTAAAGGCTTTACAAGACATTCGTTGTTAGTACAATTTATTATTTACCTACTTTAGAACTGTTAGTATCAGTTTTGTAGACAAATCTTAAATGTTCAATTTATTTGCAAAGAAAGAAAAATACACCCCTGTGGCAGACCTATTTCATGAGAAAATACATTTGAAAGTTAGACTGACAGAAAAACAGGTCAAGTTCGAGTAAACTTACCAAAAAGGGAACAAATCTATTTAATCAGTTTCACACGAATTCATTTTTAATTAAAAAATCTTAAGGATATGAATCATCTATCATACATTTAAAAACACATTTACATAACCATATATTTTTATAATTATGTTCATTATGTTAAATATTTCATATTATTACAAATATTTTGGAGTTTTGCAAAATTTAAAACAAAATCAGAATTAAACGACTGTACCTACTGTTATTATAGTGCAAATAAATAGCGTTGTAAATACATTATTCGATTATAATAATATTATTTATCTTTTAAATGCAGTGTAATATAAGCGATAAATTTAAGTTAGTAAGTATAGACTTGAAAATAAATTAAAATCTAAATTATGGGGTTCAATAAATCAATTCAGTACAATAAATCAAATGTTCCGATTAGTGACACCTTTCCATTACACTTACATATTATCTTCCGAACAAGTCCATTAGCAACGCATTAAGCTCTATATTGAACTTATATTTATTACTGCTGCATTTAATTTGCATACCGTTGCCAAACAAAACTAACTTTTACTCAGAAAAAGTTGAGTTGAGTTTGAGTTTGTTGAGTTGATTTTAGTTGATTTTGAGTTTAATAATTGTACTACTTGCTATATGAGTATCTATTTCTTAATCTTCAATCTAAAAATGCCTTTACCGCCGGCTTATTGCCCACGCGCACCGATGTCTCATTGTTTCCACACAAGTTGGCAGAGTACAAATGTTATCGGTTTTTTACTGCCCGTGATTAATTTTCTGTGTAATCTTTCCATTTAACTCTTCCGCCTAAAACTAATTAACCTTCATTTTACAAATGTAACTCATAATTACTATTTGGATTTTTTCAGTTATTTCTAAACATGTTTTTGATGTTGCCATGCCTTATAAAATGGAAAGAAGCGAAACTCGAATCAAAAACAAGTATATAGGCTACTAGTTTGACGTGGGATAACTTTCATCATAGAATTATCTTTTATGTATACTGTGATGGAAATGTCGAGGCCACACCATAGAATTGCCACGCTAACCAGACCAGTCAGTTTTAACTGCCCATATAGTTTTAAAATAAACGTTTCATGAAATGTCAATTCACGTTTGGCTGCAGCAATAGTGGTTCTCTATCGTCATCATCAGCCTATTGCAGTTCACGGCTGGACATAGGCAGAGGCCTATGTCCAGTCGTGAACCGCAATACCGCTGCTGGGAGAGCCCATTGCCTGCCAATTAGCTCGATTTTAGGCTTCTTGCATCCAGCCCCGGCCAGCCATCTTGCGCAAATTATACAGGTTTAATAACAATTCGAAGTGAACAACCACTACAGAGATATGATGTCATTGCATAGAAAATAGGTTTTCATTACTGTTTGATTCTTTTCAAAATTTGTAGCGCCAGCCCTAGGGTAGAGCGACTAAAGCGGCCGCTTTAGGCGTCAGTTAGCAAAGGCGCTCACAAGTAAAGTGAAAAAAAAACCTTTTCCAGCAAATAATAAAACTTTCATGGCACCTAATTTAAGTTGCGACTATTTAAACGCCTCTCGCGTTTAAAATAGTTGCAACTGACCTTTAAACAGTCATTTATCGTCAGATTACCCGTCTGCTCATTTGCTCCCAGTACAGAAAGAAAACATTTAAATAATGCATTTTAATATTTAGTGACTGATTAACGTGAGCAGCAATAGCGGTAGAAATTTTCTTGATAGTTAAAAACAGAAGTAATTTAGACTATTTATATTTATTTTTAGAACTATTTAATAAAATTTCAAAAATTCCGTGAAACAAACGAAAGGGTCGATTTGAGAGAGCTCCAAGAAAAAGGTCAAAATTCAATTTCGATCTTTCGATCTACTTGTAATAAACCTTCTTTCTAAGGAGAGGCCTATGTCCAGCAGTGGACTATTAAAGGCTGTTGATGTGATGTGATGATGTGATCTACTTGTATTACGAGAATTGACCTTCATATCAAGCGCTAGGGTTAGGCTTGGCCATAGCAGCTTCTAAATTCCCTAAGTAGCATTGTTGTCATATTTTTGTATCTTAGAAAATGGACAGGACGTTGAAACACAGTGCACTTTAAGCTATGGAAGATTTTTTGAATAAACAATGATTATTTTTGAAGGAAATGTTAGCTTCCTCAGGATTACATTTCGGGCAAAGGGTGTGTATGGTCTTTTTTTTTTAATCGTTCTTTTGGACCCCCTTACTAAAAATTGCGACAAATATAATATACACAATGTTTTTATAATTGTTTTGATGACGTAATTGTAAATATTTGTCGAAAAGTGATTACTCAAATAACCAACGGACTTTGTGGAAATTATCACATTGTATAAATTATAAGTCAATGGGAAAATACCCTATACATTTTCGTTAACTTTGAAATGCATAACGCGTATAATTATTATTTATAATTTATGCAATTTTTTTTTTTAAAGACAACTCCCGCATTAGGAAAATATCCTGTGTCGCGGGCGAGTTTACAAACATACATGAAACGGACACAAAGAACACCCAGACTCAGAGCAACAATTTGTGGTTCACACATAGTGTCGTCCTATGTGGGTTTTGAACCCACAACACTCGGCGTAGTAGGAAGCGGCGTGGCGACCGCTTATACCACTACGCCATCCGTGCAGTCAGTATTATTATTATTTTAACTGCTCTCATATTTAGAACACCTACAACTGTTGATTGTCCTCAATATAATAAGCCTCAAATAGGTGCTTCTTTTGGTTCTCAAAGACAAAAGAAATCAAAAGATTTCCAGAACCGTACCGCGGATTTTGAGACTTGACTTGCAAATTAAAGGAGACGCACTGGCTGATAAGTTTAAAATTTATAGGGCAATAAATTCATAAAACACTTTTAATGACGAGATTTTTATTACTATCGACCGACATTTTAAAAAGTAAATTCATCGATACCTTTTTCTTTCTGTGATGTCTGAATACTAAATATTGTATACAAGTACCAAACAAGAGACTACAATTAACAAAATCACTATAGGTATCTAAACCAACATGTCGGCCCGCTGTCCTGTTAAGGCAAGTCGTTCTCAATTTGGCAATGCCAATACTTTAATCAGTACTCCATCTTTGTGTATAGTATCATGTATAACTGTCAACGTGTTACACAAAATCATAATAATATGTGATCATGATTCGCAGACCGCTATACCGTCATGTCAATTCGAATAATTCATTGAACTGTCATGGCGCCCGTATTTGGCGGGAAAGCATGCAATCGGCTTAAGCCCAAATGGGCATGCGTTGGGATACTACTCTTTGGTTCTTTATTGCATGATACAGTGTTGCATAAGTGCTGCATTTTTAACTAACGTTACAACGTAAATAACTTACCAAGTACACCATTACATAAGAATTTTAGCTGACTTTAATTTAATCTTGCATCAACAGTGTCATTCTAAACCTGTTTAAAAACTTTAAGAGCACTACTTACGTGTCAAAGGGCATTTATAATAGCAACTAGAACTGTAAATTAATTATTATTAATGGAACTCATTATAAGCGTTTTAAAATGTCCTCCCCGAAATATACAGGGTTACTGGTTGGTTTAGTTGTCTATTTAAACTTTGATCACCAGTCTTGGATTTTGTTTACAAAGTCAAACGACTTCGTATTTATTTCTGGAATGTGGTAACCTCTCTAATCCTTCGATTATGTTGCTGCAAAAGTACTTAACCAGGCAGATACACAGATTTAATAACTTTGTTAAATACACACATAAGTAAAACGTTGATACAAGAGAAATCTTTCGAGAATCGCAACGCGACGCTACCTGAACTTTGCAGAAGACCGTAATCACCTACTT